GAATTTATACTTCTGCGTTGCACAGACGCCGTAGCTATGCTGTAACCTGACATGCACCTCCCCAGAAATGTAACTACACGTCACGGCAACACAGACCTCATATCTATTTTTGTAAGCTGAAACCATTTCCCTCAGTGGAAACAAAGCTTTTCTTTACTTAAATTTCCCAGATGAGAAGCAATAAATTGTGTAGACAATAAAGCCTCCACTAAAACAGCATTTTAAGTTATGTGTGCTTTATCCAGGATTTACATTTAGCCATCTATCCTGTCTTCATATGAGCAGAGGAAATCTAGGCTAATTTATACAATGTAAAATGCCATAGGCTTGTGCTAATAAGATTAGCATGATGTATTTGTGGGGAAAATGTGTCCAGATAAAGACAAGTGTTTGTCTGTGAATGCTGCGAGTTATAGTGAAGCTGATTTGTGCACTTATGTTTGAAATTGTCACTATTAAGCCATGTTTACTGTGTGTTTTGAATTAACTAAACTTTACAGCACTTCACAGAAACCCCGCCACCAGCTAGTGTATTGGAGGTGTAATTGCACAGTGACACAGACCCACCACCGACAAGTATAAATGCTCACAACAGCGTAGGCAACGTGCGTGGGCTACGGCGTAGGGTCTGCAGCACAAGTATAAATCCCGCTAACAGAGCTGCATATGGCTCTGGAGCCACAGGCTGCCTACCCCAGACCTAAACCGTTCTGATACAAAGCTGGTTAAAAATTAGTATCTCTTTAATGACAGTGTCAGGAAGCGTCTGAAAAGGCAGTTTGTGGCTTCTTTGTTTAAGAAAATCAAAGCAAATCCATACAGTCCAAACAGAAATGATAACAGAAGTACAAGGAACTACAATTCAGTTACAGTTTGTTTAAGCATTAAAAGAAAGTTTTCTTTGAATCCCTCCGCCCTCTCCTCTCCCACTTAAAAAATGCAGATGTTTTTTCCTTATTTATTAGTCATCCCAGCAGGAAGCGTGACTGAGTGAGTTCACCTCCCGGGCATTGTGTGCCTAAGGGGGAAGCATGCATCTCATAACGTGATGCTGTCAATCTAATGTCTCTTTGACCGATATGATTTATCCATTCCCTGAACATCAAAGGTTTCAGGACAGCACTGCAACAGGTGGTGATGATCTGATATGCCTTTACCTTTAGCAGTACACAAATCAGAACTGAGGTACCATATGTCTTTAAATATATTTAAAATGAGAGTAGGCCTATTGTGATGTCTGTAAGGGTGCAGCCATCTGTTAGTTTGTCCTCTGGTATCTGCCTGCACAGAGGAATCCAGTGGGAATGTTATAAAATCATCACTCAGACCTGTGTAAATGTCACGTCTGTTTCATCAACACAGTTTACCTTGAGCTTCTCCTGTGCTAGTTTTAAAACAAATGGTATAGAAAATGCTGCAGGGCAAAAAAAAACACACTTCTTTTTTGCATGTATTTTAAATGGCTGCCTTTGACGGAAGGAGTGAGACAACCATCAGCGCTGATACAATACCATTTCATTCCTGAAAGGCTCTTTTTTTCCTGCTCCCTTTTAAAAAGGGCCAGATAGTTTACCACACACAGCTACTCTGGCTTTGTGCCTTTCTCATGGTAATTGCTGGGAGCTGGAAACAGAGTGCGGAGCCAAACACCCACTGCATGTTGAAAACTGTGCAGAATTGTAATGACTGTCTATTAAGGAAAATTCATAGGCTACTTTTGGATTGGGAAGAATGACTTCAACATTACGGCCCATGATGAGGCTGGGGAGGTGCAGGGCGTCATTCAATCAATCATTCAATGGCTGTAACAAATGCAGACTTAACCTCAAAACAAATTCACTGTGACATTCCTGCAGGGACTTATGGTGTATCCACGGTGCCATGGAGCCTTGGTGGCTACCCGCAACAAATTCTATAGAAGGTTTGGATGTAATACTTTTATATAAGTCTTCTGTACTTTGTGGCCGTGTTACTCTATTTTTTAAAGTAAGGATATGCACTCAGATGCCAGTTTATTAGGCACACAAAGCTCAAACCAGTGTAGTCAAACACAGGAGCCCTGCAACACAGCTGAGCTTCATGGAAGTTATAATGTGGAGTTTTCACTGAGAGAGGTGTCGACTCAACTTTGAGGTCATTTTTGAGGCTGTAGTTTTTAGGTAGAGCTGAAACAAGTTCTTAATCAATCAATCTGCAAGACTTTGACGAAACTGATTTATTGTTTTAGTCATTTTTCAAACACACGCCATACATTCTTTGGTTTCAGCTTCTCAAATGTCAGGAGCTGCTGCTTGTCTTTGCTATATATGATAATAAACTGAATACCTTTGGGTTTCAGACTGATAAAAAAGCGATATGATGATAAAACCTAGAGTTTGGGGAAATCATAACTGCCATTGTTTTAACTGTTTTCACATTTCATTGGCAATCCTTGAAATGATTGTCGGATTACTCAATAAAAATAGACTAATCATTAACTGCAACTCTAGTTTGTGGTGCTGCTGTGTTATTCTAGAAATGTTTAATCTACCGTTATTGATATAAATGGGGGTGGACCAAATATTGAACCACTACATGCAATACAAATACAACAGTAACAAAAGTACAGCCTCAAAATGATCAGAAAGTTTAATCAACACTAAGTTAAGTATTGTGCATTTTACACCGCAACAGGTATTACAAGTTACCCTGAAACTTCAAGTAAAAGCCTACTCCCAACTGAACGCCCAGTCCCTTCTACTAGCCCGGTGTGGCTACAAATTTTGACAAATAAAGGCCTGTCTCAATTAGACACCTGGTCTGGTTGCCAAGCAGTTATTAAAAGTTCTTCGGATGTATAAAAGCGAGTTGTTGGTTACCTCAAATTATGTGCCCATTCCTCGATTCCCCTATAAGTTATTCATATATCTTTAGTCCATAAGGGTCCGCAGCTCAAAAGAATCAAAAGTGTTTTTCATACAAATGAATCCAAGTTGTGAGAATTGTTTCAACAGGATAAAGTGGTGTTCTGTCGGGATGCCGGGTGCCGTATTCCTCGAGTGTTGTAAGTCACTGACTGAGCTGCATCAAATGAATGAATCGTAATACATTTATTACCTGAAGCCTAATAAAGAACTAGTAACTTAAACAAGTAATATTCATACTGGTTTAAATAAAAAATTTGATTGTATTTCCCACTCTTTGTTAAGCAACTGTTTTGTGTGAAAGGAATTAAAGGCCTGTCCCAAATATAAGCCTGTTGATTTCAGTGATTTAAGCAAATAATGGCCCGGGCTACTAATTAAAGTTAAATGGTACTTAGTTACTTTATAGATCCAGGATAATAATACAAAATATTATCAACAAAGAAATCATGATGTATCAATAAAGATTCAGCCACATAGTAGTATATCAAGATAATACAATTAGCCCATCTTAAACAGCTGCAACATAAAAGTGATATATATATTAATCTATTCATGATTATAATCCAATAACTCTGAACTTGGTCACTCTCAATCAACTCATGGTGCTTTCAGTCATTTTGGTCCTACTCTCTGGACTTCTTTTCCATATGAACTGTGGTCTGCTACAACAGCGTTCTCTTTTAAAAGCAAACTTTTTTTCACAAGCTTTTAGTTAGGTTTTTAAGTGTATTTCTGTTTGTTTTAGGAATTAGTATTATTATTGTCACAATCTGCCCTTTTTTGAGAATAATGATAATAACAGTACAGTACCCTTTTACTTTGGCTTTTACAATGACTTGCTTGTTTCATATGTGCAGTTTCCTTATGTGCAATATTTTATAACTTTATGCGCAATAATATTTATATATTTCTTGTCTTATTATCTTTACAGTAAATATACTACACGGCATGTGTTTGGTTCAGTTATCAATCGCAGACATACAATATCTGTACAAGTGAAAGGTGTCTATATATTCTAAAAAAAAAAAAATTTTGGCACTCAACACTTTTTTCTCTTGCGTCCGACTTTTTGTCTCATCCTATCTTATCTAATTTTAAAAGCAAACTTTTTTTCACAAGCTTTTCGTTAGGTTTTTAAGTGTATTTTATATGTTTTAGGAATTAGTATTACCATTGTCATTATCTCCCCTTTTTTTAAGAACAATGATAATAACAGTACCCTCTTATTTTGTTTGTTTTTCCCTGTCCTGCTTGGTTTATAGATGTAGTATTTTATTATCTTATATGATAATGTATGGGGGGGGGGGTCGTATGAAATGTGCTATATAAATAAAAGTGACTTGACTCTGCATTTTACTTGTGATACTTTGACTTGAATAAAACTTTTAAATACCTGTGATAAAGTATTCGCACACTGTGGTATGGTATTCCTTCTTTTACCTAACTAAATGATCTCAGCACTTCTTCCACCATTGTTGCATTAGACAACATTAGTTTTAGCTGGGTGTGATTAATAAATAACTTCACTGAACTGAGCTTTCATCCTACAGGAGACCTCACATAAATTAGTGTCCTGCTGCTGCATTCAAGAACAGAAGTAAACAATTGAAACCACAGCTTTTAGGGGGTCGTGATGTTCCTCCCGGTGTCTCGAAAGGACACAAAAGAAGCCACCACAGAGTGGGTGATAACAGGCAGGAGCACAGGCACTTTGGTGCAGTGATTGGAGGAGCTTTTTCTCTTCCCTGCCGCGCTTTGAGAATAACAATTCAGTCAGCTGCTCCAGATTTAGGCCACATCAATAAAAACCTGAACCTGAATGCATCCCGTGTAATAAAACGGTGTCAGGCCACATCCACCGCTCGCGCAGAGCTGCAGGTGCTTAAACTTGCTGGCGGTGTATTTTCCAACCACACCACACAGCCGTGGGAACAAGCCCGCGGTTAACGTGGTGGTTGAGGACAAGAGGTTACAGACAATAACCCCCCCACGGTGTCTAACACAACACCTAGCGTTAGCATCGCTCATCCACACATTTCTAATCCAACGGTAAGAGACGGAGATGTTAGCAAAACTAAGTCAAAAACAACTTACTGTGATGGTAACTTCGTGCTTTTTCAATCGATACTTGAGGCTCTTCATCTTGTAACTTGCTGGTTTCCGGTGTTAAAAGTCTCCTTTGCTGAGTAAATTCATAAATAGTATTAAAAAACTTTCCAGAAAGTCCACACGAACTAAGTTTTATCTGTCCCCTTCTTTTACAATCCTGACAGAGCGAGTTTCACCTGACGCCTAACCGCAAACTCTGCTCGCGCTTTGATTGACAACCGCTGGGAACCAATCAAACTGAAGCATGAGCGGGGTTTATACTTTCAGTCCAATCAGCGACGTTAGGGGGCGGGACTTCCTTGTGAAGAGACGTTGGGAGAAGTTGGAGACATCCTGGGACAAGGCAGGAACAACCTGGCATGACGTCAGGCCTACCTGAGGATCGACACACCTGGAAGAAGCAGCTATGAATCTCTGTGCAAACTAGTATAATTAGCTGCTCAGTTATTTACGTCAAGACGACAATAGAAAGTGTTTACCTAGCTGCCACCACCTGCAATAAAAATTATCTTAATAACTACCTAAACTGTGTGTCACCCAGTTACCTGTCTGTGTGTGTCACGGATCACTGAGCTCACTGTACCTGTAACTGTACTGTGGTAGCCCTGCAGTTATGTGCTAATGTTAGGTAGGCCCACTGCAATTTACATGCTCCTGATTGAACCTTAAACTTGGTCTCACCCAAATTTAAGAGGAAATATTAAGTGTTTGAAGAACAACTCAGCTCTTTTATGTATTATACTTTGTTAATTAATTGACAGGGAGGGTGCATGTTAATAACTTTTATGAACATATGTCAGAATTAGTCAGAAATGCTCAATTTTATTTATTTATTAGGGTCCGGCCAGCTAAGCTGCCAGCACACTATTGTAATCCTAGGTATTCTTTTTCTTTCTTCTTTCTTCTTCGGAGGAAATCATACCTCCCATGGGTAAAAACTCACCAAACTTTGCACAAAAGTCCAGTCTCATGCCAGATATCCTTAGCTGTAAACTCAAGCCAATAGTCCTTATGGTGGCACTACAGCAAGCGTCTAAAGTTCAAAACTTTGAAAATTCATAACAAATCACCCATACGTGCTACAACTTCACAACTTTCATCAAACTGTAGCCCCAATACTAAAGAAACCTTTGTACGTTTAAACCTATTAAAAATTATGAAGTTCATCACTGTTTTTTTCAAAAACTGTAAAACTTCTTAAACCTATCTCCTCCCACAATTTTTGCTCAATTGACATCAAACTTGCTACAGAGCATCTTCAGACTGTCCTACAAAAACTACGTTTTTCAGATTTTTGATTTATCAAAAATTGAGCCTACAGTGCATCAAAATGTTTGACTGTAAACGGTACTGTAAACATATACATGCAAATTCTTGCTAAATAAATCTTCAATGTTCATGAAAAAAATGACAAAATTCTAGAGTCATGGTAGATGATGTGTGGCAAATTTCAGAATTTTATCTCAAAAACTGAATTTTTGACAGCATTTTGAATTTTGCTCTAATGTGAACAATTGGAGTCAATGTAAAAATGGTAATTTTGAACATCAGTTTATGGAGCAAATCAATCATTGTTAAAATAAATTACCAACATCTCCATGCTGTCTAGATGCAATATGTGTATTTTCAGATTTTTGTTTCAATAACTGAATTTTTTACAGTGGTTTGAAATCTGCTTTTCCATGCATGGACGGCTGTTAAACCTGCACATCTGGCTTAGTCAATTTGTGAAGCTACACATGAATTGTCACCGACTAATTAGCTCAGTGAGATAGAAATTGATTCTTAGTCTCAGAGGTTGTGAGTTCAAGCCCCAGCTGATGCAAAAGGCAGATTGTGTTGCTAAATGTCTTCTAATTCTTCTGCTTGTTGCTCAGAATTGCCTAAAAAATGCCCAGGCCTGGGAGGAGATCCTCCAGGACACCATTCACTGACTCATCAGGAGCATGCCCAGACAGGAGTGCATACAGTAAGGCTGGGGCAATACACATTACTGAGTCACATTATGAGTTATCATGATAAAATTCACACAAGTTGGATCAGCCTGTGATTTCAATATTTTACTGTGATTTTCGGTGTGATTTGGAATCCAGCCCTCAGTGGGTTGATGGTTCCAGTCTCCACTGACCGTTGTTACATCATTTTGTTCTCAACAAATTATACAATGACCCCTGAGCTGCTGTAACGTGAATTTCCCCAGCGTGGGATTAATAAAGCCGTATCTTATCTGATCTTATCTAATCTTATGTTATCTTATCTCGTCTCGTTTCGTCTCGTCTTGTCTCGTTCAAGTTGGGTTATGCACTTTAACAATAGAAGCTGGGTAGAATCAAGACCTTTGACAGTTTAGGGCCCCTGTGTTCAAGATAAACAACAGATTTTCTGACAATCAGACAGATGCTCGTTCATTTATGTCCAAATCTCTACTGGGCCATGTTCTTTTTTGGGAGTACTGCCGCTTCCTATTGGTCAACTGCAGAATCATTTTGGGGACATGCTTCAATGGCTTAATTAAAAAAGTCCACCAAGTTTGGTGATGTTTGAAAAAGCCCTCATTGATCATGGCCAAATTTTGTGAAAGGCCATAGCACTTCTTTGGAACTTGTGGTGCCCCCTATTAAAGCAGTGACAAATATTCAGATACAAACACAGCCTGCACTACACAGAGACAACAAAGACAACAGCTATTATAACACACAATGAATTAGGCAAAAATGATGACGAGCAGGACAACAAACAAGACGAAAACACATCAACAATAAAAGCAGTGGAAAATATACAGATAGAACAGAGCCTGCACTGCACAGAGACAAGGAAGACAGCGGTCATAACACACAAAGAACTGGGCAAAATAATGAATAACAAGACAACAAACAACATGAGAACACTTCACTGGTCTAGTTAAAATGATATTTGTACTAAAGTAAAAATAGCAGCAACACTGTAAAGAAATACCCTGTTACAATCAAAATATCCTGCATTGAGTAAATGGGAAATGGACTGCACTTGTATATCACCTCTCTAGTCTTCCAACCACTCAAAGCGTGTCACTTTATCCATTCACACACATATTCACACACATGGTGCCACCTGCTACTCAGTCACCATTCACACACACTCACACACCAATGGAACAGCCATCGAGAGAAGTTCAGGGTTCAGTATCTTGGCCAAGGATGCTTGGACATGTGGACTGGAGGGGACGGAAATTGAGCTGCTGATCCTCTGATTAGTGGATGCCCCGCTCTGCCTTTAAGCCACAGCCCCCTCCTCAAGTAAAAGTACAAAAGTATTAGCATCAAATTATACTTAAAGTACCCAAAGTAAAATAACTCAGTATGCAGAATGGCCCATTTCAGAATAATGCAAATAATATTATTGGATTATGATCCATAATAATTGATGCATCACTTTAATGTGTCAGCTGGTAAAGATGGAGCAGATGTTACTTACTTTACATACTGCTTTGTAGCTTAACTGCTAATAAGTCTTATAATTTATTAGTTCATTTATATTTTGTATTGATTATCTGAATCTATACAGTAGCTTGTGACTACAGTTGTCAAATAAATGTAGTCGAGTAAATGTACTTAGTTACATTCTACCACTGGAATTTATATGGAATATCCTACTTTTTACCCCATGGATAGAACGATAGCTAAAACGATAGAACGATAGATAGAACGATAGAACGATAGAACGATAGATAGATAGATAGATAGATAGATAGAACGATAGATAGAACAACAGATAGATAGATAGAACGATAGATAGATAGAACGATAGACAGAACAACAGATAGATAGATAGATAGATAGATAGATAGATAGATAGATAGATAGATAAATAGATAGATAGAGTTTTTTTTACACTGCATAATTTTACCCAGAACAGTAGAATGGAATCTGTATACACTCTCCAATAAACCCTTGAATAAATTATCCATCCTTCCTATCTGCATTTATCAAATAATATAAACAGTCATATCTTTCTGCATCTAAATATAACCACCAGTGATTACATCCATGAACTCAACAATACGCTATCTATTACTTGGAATAAAATGCCTCATTTGTCTACATTGCCACTTTAAATAAACAGCTGCCATTACCTAAACTGAGCTATCTGCTGCTTTCCCAGAACAAACATCCAACTGTCTGTTATCTTTAATAAACATCTTGGATGAAAATATACTTCTGTGAGAAAAAGGTCTTGAAGTGTTGGTTAGAAACAGCCAGATTGTTGCTGTACAGTATATATTTTTTGATTTAGACCAGAAAATGAGATGTAAGTATAGGCTTGTTGGTTCAAGGACATGTGGGTAGAACACTAAACAGTCATCTGCCCTTGAATTATCTCATTCCTACATTTTATGTGAGTATGGAATTATACAGAATATAGGACAAGAGTTTTTAATATATATATATATATAACAGCATGTACAACAGAACATGTGCTCACTACTTAATGTCTGGGGTACAATTAATACAGAAAATACCTGATCAATTGATGTAAGATTTAAAAGTTAAAATACTTGTTCCAAAGACTATTTGAGATTCAGATAGATTTATTTAAAGATTATTTTGGAGGCTTTTTATGTCTTTATTAGAAAGGATAGACTTATTGCGAAAGGGTGGGAGAGAGGGGATGACATGCAGCAAAGGGCCACAGGCTGGAACTGAACCCATGGGGCACCTGCTCGACCTATGTGTCCCTTGGTACCCTAAGATCTAGATGTTAATTCAAATATCTAAATCTGTTTTAGGCTTATTTACTCTCTTATTAATGTGTAGAGTGGTGGGTTGATTGATTTCAACATAGAATGTATGTAAATGCTGAAATACCACTGCACAAAGGCTGCATATATCCTTCTATTATGTATTGTGTCATTCTGCTTTGTTAATAAAATGACACAAAATGTGTCATCAAGGGTCAACAGTGGTAAACACTTGACAAACAAATCAACAGGGAAGTAGCCAGTAGCTATTTCCACTGTCAACATCTTTGTACTTCTTCTCCTCTATATCTTAAAGGTAAATATTGGACGTTTTGCTCCACTGTATTTGTCTAACAGCTTTAGTTACTTTTCAGATTACGATTTTTCATCTCAACATCCAAGGAAAACCATGCATCTCCAGATTTGGTGTTTTGAATTTGAATGTTTCTGATAAAGAG